ATTATGTTATTAACATTTTACATGTATTTATTTGTCATGTTTTAAAATCTTTATGGTACATAGTCATATTCTCCATCATTGTCATCTGGATTATCTTCAACATTTGCAGTTGGCCAGCTAAAAATGTTGTTATAAAATGGCATGCTCTTCCAGAATGCTATCTTGAACTTGTTTAAAAACGTAACGTCTTTCACACGGTATTATTAAAAGAGGAATGAATGTATTGACTTAAGTTGTTTTCACCCGAATACGCATCTACTTTTGAGGAACCATTTTCAGCAAAAAAAGCATTTTGAAAAAAATGAGACTTGAATAAAATGTGATTTTTGAAATGATCGATTCAATTAGAAGTGTGAGTTTTCACAGCCTCGGGACCTTAAAGTTGAGTATACGGTTTCAATTTCAACTCGATATCTCTATGCGTCCCTGAGATAAAGAAAGGGTCTTGGCAGACAGGCGGAGAGGCGGAAAACAAAGACATCCTATAAGGGTTCCGTTTTTTCTTCTAAAATTAAGCAACAAACTTTCGAAATGTATTGCGTGTATGTTTTTACTAAATATAATAAATCAAATGTGAAATTTGAATAGAAAAATGGTCACTTGTCTCGCGCCAATAATCTTCGTAGCGTAACTTATTTGGCGAGCCTTGTATTAAGAATAACTTTATAACATACATGGTGGAAATTTCATAAATATTAAATATTTTCTATAAATTTTTAGCAAACATATGAACACCGAGTGCATCGAGTCCGTGACAAGTATTTTCTCGTATCCAATTCCTATATCACTGACTTCAAGGACAGGGGGCAATGCACTTTTATCAGTTGCGTCGCAGTTCTGTATGCACTTGCTTGCAGCTGTTTTATACTTGCACACTTTAAACAAGAGAAATATTTTAGATAAACCAAGCTTCGTGCATTCTTTCAGATCTGGGTGTTTGTGGCGCAATAAATCTTTGTTTCTTATTTTTATCACGAAAATGCTGTATATTTTTTCATGTTAAAAGGATGGCAATTAAGGATAAGACCGGCCCGAGGGCACAGTATACATACAGTAGCGTAACTCAACTTTTCTTGAAATAGATATCTACGACTGAGCGGAGCGCTAGGGCTGGTACCTACAAAATGTAAAACACATTTCTGTAGATTTTTATTGTATGTTATGAACATAAAATTTACTATTGCCACGTTACTGAATCGAAAAGGACGCAGACAGCGCGGCGCAGCTAACTTAACTCGGCCAACGACTACGTAGATTTGTCTTGGCAAGATTGGTTAGCGGCCGTCTAAATGACGTTTGTCTGTGTGCGTGCGTCGATTCGGGTGCTGGTATGAAGTCGGAGTACTGTTCTTGTATGTATTGTGCTGCCGATGGTAAGCAGCCACCATATATATATCCTATAGACGTTTGCGCTAGTAAATATATTACTCGCGCCGTTGCCCTGATCCAATCCCCTTCCCCGTGAAGCCCTGGAACCTTACTCACCGACAGAAACACAACAGCACCAAAAGGTAGTGTTATTTTACTGTAGTCTTCTATAAGGTCAAGGTTTTGCATTTTTACAGGCCGACAAGGTGAGGATGGTTGGTGTACCAGTTTAAAACTGCTGTACCAGCTATCTTCACGTTTGGACTTTATCACCACTTAACATCAGGGGGGGTAGAGTCATTTGCATATTTGGTTATATAAAAAAAAGGTTGCTTCCCAAGACAGGCGCTCCAATTCGAGCGGGAAGTTGATTTTAAGCGTACGCAAACTTTAAAGAAAGTACATGATTAACTTTTTAATTCCATACTATGGTATCATTCAATTTATATTGATACATATAAAGCTTACGACGAGTTATTTCATTAATCATTGTTTTTTTTTTAAAACATAAGCGTAAAAGCCTGCCGCTGACGAGGGACTTTTGTCTGCGGACTTCTTTTGTCCCCCAAAAATTACAACTGCATGGAGTAACGCACACGACGGATTAAAAGTACCGCGTACCTACAAAAAGTCCGGACAGGATAAAAATACGTGGGTGTCCCCGAACAAAAATACAACTCATGTGACTTATGCGCAGGCGCAGCAACGCACACAGCGACTTTAGACCGTGTTTCGCGCTTGATCCGATGGACCCATTATTCTATATTAAAATGTCTTCTATTTTTCATAAACTTCATGTTAATTACAACGGGTTTTATACGCCATATCGAATGCCAGTATATCGTATTGCCATTTGATCGAATCGGTGTCAATTCACCGACAACCCGATATATCGATTTGCCATTTGATCGAAATTTCGATACACCGATTTTCAATAGATCGCTATGACATTAGTTCGTAATTTCGATAACCCAATTTTCAATAAGTTCATTTCAATTAACAGGTTGCAATACCCTTGTATTATAACAGGTTGCAATACAAGTGTAGACAATATGGCATATAAATATAATTTTACTGTTAGAATTCTAGGCTTTTCATTATTTCTTTAAAAAGACTATCCTCCCTTTCATAATTAACACATCGATTATTTTGGTATTTGCAATTTGATATTATAAAATATCGATCTAATTCGTTTTTGATCTATTGGCATAACGAGCTATTGATCTATCGATTATTATTTATCATTTGATCAAATGGCATGTCGATATATTAGGTTTTCGATTAATTATCACCGATCAACTGGCGTTCGATATGGCGTAGAAAACCCTATTACTGTTTTACTGTATTACCAACGTTATCTGAGAATATTAACTTCCAGTACGTGAGCTTCTCTAAATTTTTGGGTAACAATTGTTGGCACACCTTCTGCGTTGAGTCCGTGATAAATCCTTGGCGGTATTTTTTTTCATAATTGAGGAAGTTTTGTCCTTCTCGGATCAAAGTCTTTCGTTTGCACAGGCTATTACCGTTCAAAATAATCGTATAGAAAGATTACCACTTGTCTTCACCTACTTACGGCTGCACACTTCCGTGTGCAGCCGTCAGCAGAAGCCAATTAACTTTTAAATTTCATTAAAGTAAAACATACAATTTTTTTTTGGTCCGCGTCATCTATGACCCATAAATGTTTTGCTTTTTCCCATCACTTAAATGAAAGAAAGAAAAACATTGTATTGGCCTTCACAGCATGAATATCGAAATCAAAATGGTTATAATAATAAAATAATTACATAATAAAAAAGAGCTAATTACGTACGTAGGTGTGTGCCGTGTAAGGCCAATAGGACGCTGACTCAGCTATGCTCTGTGGTAAACGCTTACGTGATACCACAGCTGCGCTGATTTTCAGCCAAATGCATACATGAATCATTAAAAACATTGATACCTTTGCTTCTATCAATATCAGTGGGAAAATAATGAGCAGTGAACTAGATACATAACGTAATCAATACTTGAGGTCTGCACAATCTAACCGCATCTTTGCGTATGCGCACGGTAACTGATACCTCGCCTAGTAGCTAGTTTCAATGTAAAAAGATAAATAGATCGCGTCTGTAATACATGCAAACTGAACCTGTGTTTAAAGTAAGCCTTAAAAATGATAAATCCAACGCAGTAGCTGGTTAAGACACTTACACACAAACACAAGTGATGATGTGGTGGACCTCAACACCATGGTGTAGGCAGTCCAAGAAGAGCCTTATTCACCTGGACAAGAACAGCCTGATACTGGTGGCGGGGACCATGACCGGTCATTGCTCACTGAAAAAAGCACCTTCACATTCTTTTGTTTAGATAACAGGGAGAAAAAGAGACATTATAGCCACGTACCGGCGGCGCCGTGGTTTGCTGTTAGCAAGCCCCTTTCGACGCAGGTAATTGTATGGTACATTCGGTTAGCGAGAGCATTCCGAGGGTAACTCGTCGGTATAGGTTTACTTTGACGTACGCTCACGCAAGCGTGACAGACGTCAATCCACCCCTTATGCGACAACTGCCCGGTCCGCACCCGATCCTGGGCTTCTTCGTTTGGTATCGCTGACAGCCCCCTATGTAGAGCATGCATGGAGGCAAAGGAAACGGTGGCCCATGTGCTCTTCGTGTGCACCGGCGCGGCGTCGGTCGTCCTGATCCTCGAAGAGACTCTTGGTACACCGGAATACCTCGCAAATGCCCTGAAAAGACTGGGAAGTCTAATCTTCTTCTGGAGGGTGGTGGACTGGCTGGAATAACCTGACGCTGACGCACAATAGTCCATTTTAAGGACTAAGTGCGGAAACCATATCTCTAAACATAAAACATATAGGCAACGCATTAGCTCTTACCTTAAATTAAACGTCATCATCAACTTATTAATGTCCCCACTGCTGAGGCACAGCCCTTCCCTATTGATGGAATAGGGATATTGGGCTGTGACCCACCACGCGGCCCAGTGCAGATTGGTGGGTGCAGAAACAGCCGAGACCACTTAACGTGCCTTCCGAAGCACGAAGGAGCTCGAGATAGTAGTCTTTAGTCACCCATCCAATGACCGACCACTGCGAAAGTTGCTTAACTTCAACGATCGCAGCCAAAAGCTCTAAACCACTTGCGTAAAGTAAACGTATTGAACTGAAATTAATCAAATTAGCTAAATTAATATTGTATTATGGAAATCAAAGATATCGAACAAGACATCACAAACACCCTGACACGAGCCAATATAGAAAAGTTCATAGGTTTGCATTGACCTGGCCATCATAACGACATCCCTATGCCAAAATAATTCCTTTAGCTCATATTTTTTGTCACCCATCTAACTACAGACCTTTGGAAAAACAATCATTTTCCAATGTAGGAGAAATTCTTTACAGTATATCATCGTAATGTAGTGCAGACAGTAAGTATAGGTTGAAAAGTAATATTTGTTTGTCTTATACGCCACTTCTATTAATGATATAATAAACACCACAATATAAGTCTAAACAAACTGTCAAATCCCATAAATGCAATTATAGCCCTTCCGGCGTAGACCAATAAGGTTGCGATTCAAATGCCTATTGACGGCGAAACATAAAAACAAAGGAATGGGTGTGCGATCAGCTGATCGATGTCGCTGCATCAGTTTAAATTCAAACTCACTCAGCGCAGGCCGCATACAGAAATCGGTAAAATCTTAATTTAAACCAAACACCTTTACTCTCATTAAAAAGTGCAGTGAAAAAAGAAGAAGTGTTCTCTTCAACATTGCGTTTCGTTTGTTCATTCGTCAACAATTCTTCGGTAGCCATGCGGCTATGATTTTGGCGCGAAAATTCACCGCGTTCGATATTCAATACGGTACTGGTGAGTACCATAGACAATGCTCATAGTTATTAAGCACCTATTTTATCTGTAGTCATATCTCACCCTTGATTTATTATCAATTTATCATAAATGCGGAGATTAAGTAGACAGGACGAGGATGATAAACAATTCGGTAAAGAGATAAACAACATAGTTTGACATAATTTACTTAATCGGCTTAAAACTGGTCTGACAAGCTTAAAAAGTACTTATCTACTTGATGGATGATTAAAATTAACTATACACTTAAATTTTACTTAGAAGTCTAACTATTTAGTTACTATTTTTAGTATAGATAAGTTGGTGGTTTTGAAATCGCCAGTGCAATATAGGAAATGTCCGGTAATTGTAGCACAAGTGTTGTAAGCTACAATTAAATATTTAGAGACTGATTATACTTTACTTTCAATAACCAATCATTATTTTATAACTACTTATTATTCTTTGTATAAAATTTAGAAACTATAGTGACAGACTAATCTATTTCAAAATGATGCCTTTCAATATCTGATCTGCAGTTTCTATACAAACTTCTCACGAATAAAATTGACTGTTGCCAACTGCTAGGAAAAATAAAATTCGACGTTCCCCGTAGAAACCCACTGCTCGCCGTTAAACCACTGATCCCACCCTTGCGTAGAACTGTCCAAGGCGCTAATTCTCCAATACCTCGTTTGTGCAAACTCCTCAACAAATATAGTCGGACCTTAAATGTCAATAACGATTCGCTGGCGAAGTTAAGACAGCGTTTTAATAACAGCGTTGGTTCAGGTCCAGGCTTGACCAACAATGGCTGAGCCATTCCCTATTGTCTTGTTTTAATGAATTATTATTTAAATATCTGTTAGCATGTAAAAAAAATCATTAAAAAAAAAGTTCAAACAAGAATTTCTGGAAGCTTATAAGACATGACATGCCTGTAAATGTTAAGCATTATGTGACAGTTGGTAGAAACAGAAGACTTAAAACTGAATGTAACAGAAATTATAAAATAAAAAAATATGTGATCGGTAACTTTACACATGTCTTTGTTATTAATTAGTATATAAGTAAAGTAATCTTTGTAAGATTTTTTTAATATTTAATAGATATTTTTTATGTACACATTTACCTAATTTATGTATGTGCATGCAGTGTTGGCCTTAAATTGGTTAGCACATTTAGCAATAAATTCAGTAGATAAGATTTATTGCATGTTTCTATGTAGCAACCGTTGGCTGACCTAAATAAATAAAATAAAATAATTTCTGTTACATATATCTAATTTTATATAGGCTCTATAACAACAAATACAAAAAACATTAAGACTCTTTGACCTAATAGTTACTAGTAGTAGTTATACAGAAATAATATATGTATACATAAAACTAAAAAACTTTAAAAAATATAATATATAAAACTAGTTTTTACGGGTTAATGCACGAAACTTTATTTATTTATTGACGTTTCGTAGCCTTTACAGGCTTCGTCGTAAAAACTAGTTTTATTTAATGAGTGATGTGCGTGAAAACCTAAGAAACAAATAAATATAATATATGTAATAACTAAACTACATTATTAAAAGGAGTCCGAAGATACTGAATAGCTAGACTAATTCTTTGTCTGAGGTAGCTGCCAATGGGCATGTCGTTGGTAAATAAATCTTATGGTATTCTTCTGTTACTGTATAAGAGAAATCATCATTAAGTCACTTCATAACTGTAAACTTAAGAGAAAAAATATTATAAAATTTACATTCTATATGGTACATAAAACGAAATATCCCAAAACATGGGACACTTTGTATAATCAAAATTATTGGATTGAAATTTGGTACACAGGAAAAGAACCCTAAAATTAAGCGCATGGAATATTAAGGATTATATTATTATACATAATTAAATTTGACTATAGTTAATGTCATATCAATAATATTAAAAGTCGATAAAAAAAATAACAAACGGTTAATTTTTCTGTAGTATTTTAACTGTAGTCAAATTTTACTAAAGATGACACAAAGCGGCCTTAATTTTGCACCACTGAAAGATTACCCTGAAAAAACTCTACGTCAAAATTATAAAGTCCAGCCGATGAGATTTTTATCTATTCTTAGAAGAAACCTAACGCACTTCGAGTGTTTGCTATGAAACTTGTAATAATAAACAGGAAGTCAGCAATGATATCATTGTAATTGATTTTTAATTGTGCGTGTCATTTTAGTAAATCATATTTAACCGTAAACATTTTACAAAGCCAACAAAATGGCATTTAAAGTTGAATATTTTATAAGTAGGCTCTTTTGAGAAAATGTAGTTCTACGTTTTAATTGTACCTTATGCATATGTACCACGTCTCCTTTTCAAATCCAAATCTGAATTCCAACTTATTTATTTACACAACTACGATTATATCTCAAAAACTTCTGAACGGATTTTTATTCGGTTTTCCTCGGATGGGAAATGAACCCGGGCCACAGGCGCAGCAGGTGAGCTGTCTATCACTGGTCCAACGAGGCTTGTTGACAAGATCTGAATCTTTAATTATAATTCAAAATATAATGCGATATTCTCAAGTTAAACCAAAAACTTCGTGGCGATGTAATTAAAGTTTCATTTTAAAACAATGGGAAAAGACTGTCAGGCATATTCACAGTTTTCCATGTTTCTCTGTCTCTTGATAGGTTTACTATACAGGGCGTCTCCCGGCCATGCCAGACGGAGAGAAAATATATTAAATATTGAAGATAGAATATTTTACTTAAAGAAGGCATCATTTTATTTTTAATAATAAGTAGAACTGCATTCACAGATTTTTTTAAACTCGCCTGCCACAACCGTAAATCAAACTCTTGAAATGTGAAATAAAACACGTGACGTATTTTATGCTAACCGTCGAAAAGGATAATAAGCACCTACTCGCTTAATGATACACGGTCTTATAATAAAGCAGTTTCTGTCATTTAAAATGCTATGTTATTTAGGAAAAAAAATCCATAAAATTAACCCTTTCGGACGGTTTTCATAAAATACTTACATGTGTTTCTTTTTTGTTTTACATTTCACGAGTTAGATTCCCGGTAGTGGTAGGCGATTTTTTTAAAATAAACCACTACCTATTTTAAATAAATCTATTAATGTTCTAATTATTAACAAAGATAAATTGATCCCCTCTTTCAGTAAAATATCGTATAATCAATATATAAGAGTACACAGGAGTAACAGTTACTCCGTGATCATGGCGCTTGCAACAGTGCCGAAATTTCGGAGACTCATAAAAGACAAGGTTCATAGTAACAATCCCGTTAATAGCTATAATGTTAGTAACCATGAAAGTTTAAAACAATATATCAATATATAATATACTTTCCCTCCGTGTGGCGTGACCGTGGGACACTCTGTATATGCTGTATCTACGTGACAACATCCAAATCCTTGTTTCGCTCCCAAGTCATGAAAAACCATATTAATTTCTTAGGTTTTCACGCACCTCACTCATCAAATAAAACAATTTTAACGGGTTCTCATCCTTATCATGATTGCGAAATTTATTCCAACCACGCATTCCTGAAAAGGAGGAGAAACGTCAATAAATAAATAAATTCAGTGCATATAACCCGTTCAAACTGTTTTATTTAAACCATATTAAGTTAAACAATATAGCTGCAATAGCTTCAAACACGTGCTTGTTTCTAGCGAACTAATGTTGAACGTGTTACATTCGCCTTATCTGGTGTATAAAGGTCGTTTCAAGTGCACTACGATGCACATAACTACGAACACTATTAGTAATGACCTAAAAATAGATTGAACTAAACTATTTACGTTCAATTGTTATGGTTAACGAACAAACGGAGCGCGTGCTGGTTCCCCTAAAACTGAAAACTCACTTCAATGAATCAGTAAAATGTCCTTGATTTTTGTTGCTGCAAGTCTCGATTTGTTGAATGAATGATTACTTTTTTGTACACCATGAAATTTAAAAATTACAATTATTTTAGACTATTACATAATAGTACAAACGGCGGCCTTATCGCTAAAGGAAAGCAAGAAAAGAATCGCTAAAAGAAAGAACCTAGCACGCGTAAGCTTGTTAATTTCCATGAATATACTAAAAAGAAAACTATGTAAAATAAAATTTTCAATGAATGAGTAAAATGTCCTTGATTTTTGTTGCTCCAGGTGTCAATTTGTTGAATGAATAAATAAATAAATAGATAAATAGTTCCAACACTCACACCAATTAGCCTAGCCCCAAAGTAAGCACTGTAAGGCTTGTGTTATGAGATACAGTACATATATAATTATATTTATATAGAAATACATATTAAACATCCATGACTGGAAGTACAAATGCTCGTATTCATCACACAAACATCTGCCCCCACCGGGATTCGAACCCGGGACCTCTCGAGTCGGCGCACCATGAAACCCGGCGTACAAACCACTCGACCACGGAGGTCGTCAAATGAATGAATGATAACTATTTTCTACGCCATGAAATTTAAAAATTACAATTATATAATAGTACAAACGGCGGCCTTCGCTAAGAAGCAATTTCTTTCAGGCAACCTCGATTTGTTGTCACCAATAATCGAGTTTTGTTTACATCAAACGGTCTTAAGAGAACCTAGCACGCGTAAGCTTGTTAGTTTCCATGAATATAATAAAAAAACTGTGAAAATTCTCACAGTTGACAGAGTAGATAATATTTCTAATGGTTTAGGAATTTCGTAGAGTTATTTAAAGGCATGAGTCTTTTTATAGCTATTGTTTATTAACCATGTCCTTTTGTTTAATCCTAAGAAATTATCACTGCTACTTTAAATTATGAATTTGTGCGGCTTCTCGACATACTAAGTACCTACAGATTACTAGAGATTAGGTAGCTGACCGACGGTGGTGCCTTGGGTATCTCTACTAAGGCCCGTTTGCAACAAATTAGCTAAATCTCAATACAACTAAAGCTAGATTCAACCCATAAAACGTCAATGTGAATTTGACATTATTGTATGGGCTGTATCT